GGATCAGAGCCATGTGTGAAAACAGTGGAAGCATATTTCGTAGTAGTACATTTACCGAATGTTCACAAAGCCATTTTGGGCCGACCTCTGTTGGAGGACCTGAGAGCCATCATCTCCCAGGCTTACCTCTGCATGAAACTTTATACACCAGTCGGGATATGCACAATGAGGGGAGAACGAAGATGGCTCGAAGCTGTTATGTGAGAGCTTGAAAAGCTCATGGGAGGAACGATGTTAGAGTCAACGCCATTGAGCAGGACCTGTCAAAATATGAGGAGGGGCAGTTTAGAGCTCAACCTGTCTCAGAGCTCGAGGAGGTCGAAGTTGATCCCACCCGGCCAGAACGCCGGATTAAGATTGGAGCAGGGCTGCCGACCGACCTGAAAGCAAAGATATTCCAGGTCTTGAGGGATTTCAAGGTGATCTTTGTCTGGGGACTCGAGGACATGCCCGGGCTCGACCAGGGCATAGCTGTGCACCGATTGAACTTAGATCTTAAGGCAACTCCCGTGAAGCAGAAACGGAGATACATGTCCCTAGACAGGAATGAATTTATAAAATGGGAAGTAAGCATGTTGTTGGGCATCAAGCACACCCGGGAGGTACAGTATCCGAAATGGCTGGCCAGCGTGGTCTTGGCTCCTAAGCCACCGACCTGGAGGATATGCGTGGATTATACCGACCTGAATAAGACTTGCCCCATGGATCCCTTCCCTTTGTCGAGTATAGATCAACTTGTGGACCAAACTGCCAAATGCGAACTCCTTTCATTCATGGATGCATTTAGAGGATACCATCAAATCTCCATGCGTCCCGAAGATGTCGAGAAGGCCTCTTTCATCACCCCAAAGGGGTATTCTGTTATCTGGTGATGGCCTTCAGGCTGACAAATTCTGGGGCTACATATATCAGGATGGTTGTCAAGGTCTTCCGAACTGTACTCAGGAGGAACATGGAAGCTTATGTGGGTGACATGATCGTGAAGAGCCAGAAAGCAGGAGATCATGCAGACGACCTTAAAGAAGTATTTGGCATCATGAAGCAGGTAAATCTGAGACTCAATCCTAAAAAGTACACTTTCGCAGACCAGGATGGAAAGTTTCTAGGGTTCATGGTGAGCCCACAAAGGTATCGAGCCCAACCTAGATAAAGTCAAGGTGATCCTGGAGATGGCCCCCCGTGAAATGTGAAGGGGGTCCAAATCTTAACTGGGGAGGCTAACAACCCTTGGAAGATTCCTATCCAGGTCAGCTGAAAAGTCTTTGCCATTTTTCCAAATCTTGAAAAAGAGCAAAAGGTTCGAATGGTCTTAGGAATGCCAAGCTGCTTTTGAAGATCTCAAAAAGTATTTGTAGTCAAAGCTCCTGCTCAGTAAACCTGAGGCCGGTGAAACACTTATCCTCTACTTAGGAGTATCACAAAGTGCAGTCAACTCCATTTTAGTGCGCGAGGAAGGGATCGTGCAGAAGCTGGTCTACCATACAAGTAAAGTTTTTCATGCAGTCAGTACCAAGTAAGTTTCCAACCTAAAACATCACTCAAAGTCCAAGCTTTGGTGGATTTCGTTGTGGAATGCGCAACACGAGATGTAGCCGAAGAAACATGCCGTGACGAAGAAGATTGGTGGACTCTGATGACTGATGGTTCATCATCAGGGTCCAAAGGTTGCGGAGGAGGGGTGGTCCTCATCACCCCTGAAGGCTTCAAAATATACTATGTAACATTCTCAAAATTTACACACTTTAAAAACCTGAAAGTAAAAGAAAATATATAGAGAATTGAAATTTATTAAACAAAAGTTTATACTTTTGATGGGTGTTTTAACTATTTAAACTCTACTGAAATGAACCACGGTTAAAAAAAACGATTGAATCAAACCAAGTCATCTTTAGATAAACAAACTATATAGAACCGAATAGCAAATGTTATGAAATGTGATATTCACTTAGTTAAATAATTTTGGTACGGAAATTTAATAGATTGAACAAGTGATAAATTATAGACACATGTTATGAGACCTCTTACAAACAAATATTCATGCATAATAAATCAAAGCCAACCGTCACTTTAATTCAAAGTTCCAGGACATTTGGCAATTCAATGACCCACAAATTAATGGAACAAAATTAGCTGTCTTTCTAAATTTTGAAATTCAGCCACGTATATAGTAGCTATAGTAGATATAAAGTCACACTCAACTACATGACATGGCATAAACTCCATGCTTCATTTACAAGCATATGACACTCGGCCATATATCCAATAACAAAACAAAAATACATGCAAACATAAATATATACACCATACTTGCTCATTCAGGGGAGTACATGGAGCTGTAAACGTAAAATAGAAATATTCATGGGCGGATCTATGTAGGGCCTAGGGTGGGCTCTAGCCCAGCCCAACCCAATTTTTTTGTTAGTATAGAAAGAGATTTAATTTTCAGCCCACCCAAAAATTAAAACTCAGCCCACCCCAAGTCTACAAGGAAGTGTTCTAAGAAGCTCTAAAAGCAAAAGGCTGCCCAAACTTTGTTTAAAGCCCATAGTCATGGGAACAAATGATCCCGAGAACAAATGATCTCGATGCGTAATAATAGAGCTTGGTGTGATTGCACCAAGAAGTGATTTATATATAGGACACTCAGGAGGGTGAACCATCCTTGCAGTCGGTGTGGGATAAATTGAGGAGCAAAACTTTACATACGGAGTATTAATTAATTGTATGTAGTTGGTGTTTGGAGCCAGCTGCAAATTATGCAATCTCATCTCACCCACTCACCCACACCATCAATGAAAGCACTTTATATTACAAGTTTACAATATTATTTTACAACATGAATTTTATGATTAATATTATATTATTATTATAATACTGTTATTATTATATGAATATTACTATTATTTGACCCAAGTCACCATGAGTAAATTTTATAAGCATTAAAATTTAAACATAATTATAATCATTAAAATAACTAAGTTACTCTTTATCAACTATACTTATTTGGTCATATACTATTTCTATTATTATTATTATTAAAATTATTATTATTATTATTATTAAAATTATAATAGTTTTATTAGTGCATTAGTTTTATTTAATAGTTATGTAATTCTATTTGATTATTAATTTAATTTATGCTCAAACTCGGCTTGAATAAAATAGATATATGAACTCTATTTTTTTAGTGTTCAAATATATTTAAAAAATTGCAATGAAAATGTTTAAATTTTAAGATAAATAAAATTTATTTCTATAATTTACGAGTTATTGATAGACTTGAGTCCAGATCAAACCGAATACCACTATGCTCGAACTCAGCTTGAACAACTATTCGAACTCAAAATCTAGCTCGTGTTCGAGTTAAAAAAAAGCTTCTTAAGCTCAGATCACTAAATTAAATTCGAAATCACGCTCGAATTCGCGTAGTTTGAAAAAAACTCAATTCGATTACAGCCTTAAGCAGTCTAAGCTAAACTTTTTGTTTGCAATAACAATTTTTTCCTGCTAAGCCCACCCCACTCTTCATTCCTGGATCCGCCCCTGGAAATATTAATAGGTAAAATGAAAAATGAGATTAGAGAGAAAAGAGAGTGGAGATGGAGAGAACTGGCGAGAAAGAGATTAGAGAAAAGAAAGAAAAGAAGAAAAGCGAGGGTAACAACCGTGAGGAAGAAAAGAGAGAAAGACAGAAAGGAAAGGGAAGGATAATAGGGAACAAGCTAAGGGAAAATAGGGAGAAAATCTGGCCAAATTTTAAGGTTTGTGTTCATTCCTTCTCCTAAATTTTAATTATATCAAATATTCTAAATTAAATTGCTATATTGAATTGATATGTATCTTCTTAAATTAATTGTACGACTTATTTTGTTTCTATTGTTATTTAATTATGCCTTATTTAGATATGGATTACTATTTCTTTAATTTGAAGAAGCTATTATCTATATACTAACTATTAATTGTGTGTATTCAGAAGTGAACCTCAGACCATTTATAGGAAATGAAATTGCTAATTTGGTTCCTACATGATATTAAGAAATGTTTAATTATATATATTTGAAAAGATATTTTCTTATTTTGTAATTTTATTCATCAAATTAAATTTGATTACTTATAATAACAAAAATAAGTGAATAAAGATGTACTGAATTCGAAACATATTTCGGATTGGACATTATAAAGAAATCAATTTTGAAATAAGTAATATTTGTAATTAATATATATATATATATATATATATATATATATATATATATATATATATATATATATATAGGGGTGAGATCACATACAAACCATGTTTAACTTACTAACCTACAAACTCAATAATATGCAACACTTTAAACTTTAATATGCAGTACAAATAATGTAAAGATGCACTCTTTGAATTTCAATATGCAATACAAATAATGCAAACATGAAATTGCTATTTTAAGGCTTGAATAATATGAAACACTTTGAACTTCAATGTGCAATACAAAATAATGCAAAGATGATTTGAATGGGAGAACTAGTTTGTATGTGATCTCATCCCTGCATCTTTACATTATTTTTACTGCATATTGAAGTTCAAAGTTATGCATATTATGGAGTTTGTAGGTTAGTATTTTAAGCATGGTTTGTATTTGATCTCTGATATATATATATATATATATATATATATATATATATATATATATATATATATATATATATATATTGTGTTCAAATGAGAATAGTATCTCAGGAAAGAAATAAGAATGGAGATCAGCCGTCCAATCTTGCACTGAATCTCACGTGCAACTTTGCATTCTAGAGGTTATTCATGTAATTTTATTTTTGAAACCTACGCACGTACTAAGCCCTTTCTTTATTTACGCACATTCATTCTTTCCATAACCGTTTCTCAAATTCCCTTTCCTTATTGATCATCGTTTGATTTTTGCTTCTTTTCTCTTTCCTTTCTATACCGGTTTCGTGACTCAGTCTTCTCCATCGTCCCTGTTTGTCAATCCAATTCCGGCGCACTTCGTCATACACATTTCTGCCATGGAAACCGGTTAGCATAGCTCCTCTGTTCTTTGTTATGTTGTCATTATTTTGGTTTTTTATGTGCTCTTCGATTCTTTCAATATTTTTGATGTATTTGGTGAATATTTTGTAAACAATTCTCTACCCCTCTTTTTTTATATTTGTACATCGTTAATGCATGTGAAATTCTTGAAAGTTAAAAGTTGCCTAGTTCGACTCCATTTTGCCGGAGGAATCAAAGTATTATTGTGATGCTGCCAAATGTTTTCCCATGATGCACTTTGTCTTTGATGTTTTTTTTAATTTATATAATTATTTTTACATAAGAATGGAGTTCAACAGTTTATTCAATGCACTCCATTTTGCATCATGGTTTTGAATTTTTTTTTACATAATGCACTTCTAGTTTATTTGTATACAGTTCATAATGAAATGTTTGATGCACTCCATTAATTATTTAGATGTTCATTCATGTGCTACATAATGCACTGTATTTGTGAATTATGTTTATATGATTAAATGTTTTTAATTTTAATTCAGATTCAAATTAATGCATATGCTTAGTTAATATATTCAGTGTTATAATGCTGCCAAATGCTTTCCCATGATGCACATTTGACTTTGATGTGTCTTTGCATTTGTATAAAATTCTTAATTTTTTTAATAACAATGTAGTTCAAAAGTTGATTCAATGCACTCCATTTTGCATCATGCTGCTGAAAATGTTTACGTAATGCACTTCTACTTTATTTGAAGAAATGTTTTTACTTTTATTCAGATTCCAATTAATTGTTTTTACTGCAATGTCATTTTATTTTGATGAATGATTATGTGCACAAATGTTTTGTTTTTTCATTCAGATTCAAATGATGTTGGTTTCAGTGCTTCTTCTGCAATTTCCCAGCCCGTTGATGTTCAAACAATGCACCTTTCACCTGGATCCACTATGTATTGGACACCCGAGTGTGATCCCGCTGTCAAACTGTGTGTTGGTATGTTTTTCAACAACCTGCGTGAAGCTAAGGTATTTTATGATGATTATGCATCAGTGTGTGGTTTTGAAACACGTATTTTTAGTTCATCAAAGGCTCCTGATGGTGTTATTGTTTGGAGATATTTGGTATGTAATAGGGAGGGATTCAAAAATGTATCTAAATCCCGCAAGGATGCATCTAACAACGATCGTTGCAAAACCACACATAACAACTCTGGTTGCATTAATGAAGATGCAGATAATGAGTTAAATCATGAAAATGAGTCATCAGAATCCGAAGGAGGTGAAATTGATGGGCAACCTTCTCGTCAAGATTTAAAAACTCTTGCCCTCTGTGTTGATGATGATAAAAAGAGACGTCGAGTTTCCAATAGGATTGGATGTAAAGCACGTTTAGTGCTTAGGCTTGCTGACACCAACACATACGTGGTTACATTGTTTGAAGAGAAGCATAACCATTGTATGGCTTCTAGTTCTTCCATGCCTTTTTTAAAAGTGAATAGGAAACTAGATATTGGTCATCAAAAGTTTTTCCTCAATTGTGTTAAAGCAAATATCGGTACAACAAAATGTTATCGATTGTATAAAGAAACTGTCGGGGGCTATTCCAATATAGGAGCCACGTCCATTGATTTTAAGAATTTTAAACGTGACTTGAAGGCGTACGTAGTTGGCGTGGATGCTCAAATGCTGATAGATAAACTTTTCAGAAAGAAAGAGGTTTGCTCAGCGCTTTTGACTATGATGTCGATGAGAGTGATCAATTGACACGCATATTTTGGGCTGATCCAGTTTGCATAAGGAACTATGCTTTATTTGGGGATGTTGTTTCTTTTGATGCTACTTATGAGACAAATCGGTAATTTTTCTTTTCATTCTGTATTTGTTAGTAAAACTAATCTTACTTTCTTTTATGTAAAATTGCTGATCCCTCACACTGATATTCTTATACTCATGTATGAGTTACTTGTCTGACATAAACTTGTATATTTGTCGCACCTTTCCTGAGTTTTTGATGCACTTTTATCTTAATTAAATTTCTGATCCATCACACGTATATTCTTATATCTATGTATGTGTCACTTTTGTTACATTACCTTCTCGCATATGTTGCACCTGTCTTGAGTAATGGATGCACTTTTAATTATTTCTTTCACAATACAGGTATAACATGGTTTTTGCTCCTTTTACCGGTGTTGATAATCATAAAAAATGCATTACATTTGGTGTGGGTTTGTTGTTGAAAGAAGATGTTGAATCATATGCTTGGTTGTTTCGGTGTTTTCTTAATGCAATGGGTCGTGAACCAAAGTGCATCATAACAGACCAAGACCCGGCAATGAAGATTGCTATTCCACAGGTTTTCACTACGACGTGTCACAGATTTTGCATGTGGCATATAATGTCGAAACTTAGTGCAAAAGTTGGACCTGTCTTGAGTAAGGATATGAATTTCTTGAATAAATTGAATTCTGTTGTATGGAGTCATTATCTTCAGCCTGCTGAATTTGAAAAGGAATGGAATATGGTCATGAAAGAATTTGACTTACTTGATCACAACTGGTTCACAAACATGTTTGAAATTCGCAAGCTTTGGATCTCTGCTTATTTTGGTGACGTTTTGATGGCTGGTTTGCTTAGGACTACATCACGTTCAGAAAGCGAGAATAATTTTTTCAATAAATTAACGAATCCTAATTTCAGTCTGATTGAATTTTATATGTAGTTTGAAAGTGCTATGGATTCACAAAGACACAATAGTGCACAGTTGACCAAAGTTTCTGAGTCATGCATTCCTGAATACAAAACTCCATTACATATTGAGAGATATGCTTCGTCTGTTTATAATCATTCCATTTTCTATGTCGTTCAGAAGGAAATATGTTCCGCTTGTTTTTCTTGTGGTGTACATAGTGTTCGACATGAAGATGGTGCGTCTCAGTATGTAATATCTGATGAGCGAGGTTTTAGTTTCACAGTTGAGCACAATAGTATTGATTGTACTACAAGTTGCACGTGCAAACATTTTGAAAGGATTGGCATACTGTGTCGTCACATATTTTTCGTGTTTAAAGATCTGAAGGTTAATGTTATTCCAGATAAATATGTGTTACGCAGATGGTGCAAAGATTCTATCCTAAAGCCTCTTAATGCGTTTGAAGATGGTGTTTTTCAACAGTGTGTTGGCACTGAAGAAAAGAAAGGAGCTATTAAGCATGACCCTGATTTATTCCAGCAGTTTGCCGATGTCATTATGGCGCAGAAAGACTTATTGTCTGCCTCTGATCAAAACAGTGCACCATCAACTTCAAAACTAGATGTTATTAAATCATTTTATGGATCATCTATTCCTACTGAAGTCAGTGTGCATCCGCCTCAGCAAGCTCGAAATAAAGGTTGTGGCAAGAGGATTAAAGGCGACAAGGAAAAGGCAATTGAAATCAACAAGAAGAGTAAGAGACTCTGCAGAACATGTAATCAGAAGGTGTATCACGACAGTAGGAATTGTCCTTTGAACTCCGAGAAATGATTACAATTTTAATTGATCTGTATGTAGACATATATTGTTGATTATTACTTACGATTAATTAGATTTGTATGACAATTTTTATTGCTATTAATTTCATTATTTAATTTACATATTTACTTATGAATTTTGTCCACATTTTATAGTTACTTGTACTCCAAATTCTTTATATTTGAATATGAATTTTTTTAGTTTATTAATATATGTCTAGTCTCCTGATGTAGTCCATTTGTGGCATTGTGATTAATGTGAACTTTGTGACTGTTTAATGTTAATTTTGCACTGCTAATTATCCCTGATGTACATTTACTCTCTCCCTCATGCACTCCACAATTAATTCTTTTTATGTTTGCACTGCTAATCATCTCGTGATGCAACGTTTTACTATCTCCCTAATGCACTCCACTTCTCACCATAATTCATTTTTCGGCTTTTAATGTACTTGGTTTTATGTAAATGATGCACGTCATATCATTTAAATATCTACTTGCACGTTGATCTAAATTCAATAAAAATCCTGTGTTGATGGACTTCAAATTTTTTTGATTAATGGATTTGTATATTTTTATTCATGCACTGCTAAGAATCCCATGTCGCACTTTTAGCTTTTCCATAATGCACTTAACGTCCAAATTTTCTTGATTAATGAATCTTGTTTGCACTGCTAATCATCCCGTGATGCAACGTTTTACTATCTCCCTAATGCACTCCACTTCTCACCATAATTCATGTTTCGGCTTTCCATAATGTACTTGGTTTCATGTAAATGATGCACGCCATATCATTTAAATATCTACTTGCACGTTGATCTAAATTCAATACAAATCCCGTGTTGATAGACTTCAAATTTTCTTGATGAATGGATTTGTAACTTTCACTTATGCACTGCTAAGAATCCCATGTTGCACTTTTAGCTTTTCCATGATGCACTTAACGTTATGACTTATATGCTTTTCAAAAAATGAGGCATTATCAGTAGTTGTTTGACTTATCAGTAGTTGTTGCACTTCTCATTTTGTACTACAATACTCATTTCATCCACAACCTTATGTCAAAAGCGCATTTCATATGCAATGCAAAATAAATTCAACCAAACTTTTGCATTAATAAATGTAGCAACAGAATATGATAGATTTCAAAATTTCTAGATGTTCAAAGATGTATAAAAACCACAATCAATCATAGCGGAAATCAAAATATAAGTGTTAAAGATATTTTTAAACTGATCACATGTTTTCTTCCCCCATAGCTCATGGCACTTTTATGTTAAATTTCCTGTTTATTTCTCACTTCTTTAGCAAAATCATTGGCCTTGCTGAAATTTAATTCTTTTAGCTCATTCACTTGTGCCCCTGCTATTTCTGTCCAGTACTTCATTTTTAAAGATGCCATAGTCTTTGTATCTCCCTTCTTTAGTCCAATATCCCAACTCTTCACACTTTGACCCATGTATGTTTCCATGTGTCTCATCGTCCATATTCCGTAAGCACACGGGTTCTTCACATCTCTCCACTTCATTGCCAACCTCGTCACCTTGGCCTTTTGGAACGCCTTCTTGCCTTCAATTATTCCATATTGTGACAGAAATTTAGTAAAGATGTCCATCTGTTTAACAAAACATTCAACAATAAATGACATTAATTCCTTATCCTTTACTTCTATAAGAAATGAAATTGAATGTATAAGTTAAGTATTATTACCATTGACAGAGGCATCTCATCATACATCTCCTCCATAGTGAGATTACATGAAGAGTAGTCCAAGATTTCTATTTTTCACTCTTCATATTGAAGCACAAGATGTAGCAGTGTGAAGGCTGGATAATTGGGAAGAAAAACTACAATACAAACATGAATTTAAGTATAATATAAATGCACATATACATCACTTTTTATGCACCATTAGTAATATATATTGTTCTTACCAGTTCTACATCCTTCAGATTTATTTCGGGTTTCATTGCTTGGAGTCCTATAACCATGCCTTGCTTCAACAACGGATATGATGTGTCATCCGTCATGCCATGGGCTTCAAGCGTGTATAGCTGCCACAGTTTTAGTTAACATAGAATTCATTATTATAAACCTAAAATATGAACTGAGAGAGTAACTGAAAAAAATTGTTTTCCTACACATGGATATGCTGGTGCAAAAAACCGACATGGTGATCCTTCGCTTCGAAACTTTTCCTTTGTGTTTAGTATTGCAGACCAAGCATCAATGACACTCAAAGATATGTGTTTATCTTCTTCCAATGTCATCATATCGTCTCTGGTCACCTTCAGATCGTTGTATTTGAAAATTATCTCCCCACTGTCAATAAACCAATGCGTTTATACGAAAACAATATATACCACACATCTACGATTCTTAATGCACTTAACATAGTAATATGACAGACACATTTTATCACCTGTCCACACCATGTTTGTTTGAAACCCAGTTACCCAATAGCTTTTCAAGTGCGCTACAGGTTTGTCTTGGATCAACTATCCTGCACATGTAGGGCGATTTAAAAAACTTTCCAGTTTTACCTTTTCTTCGCAATTCCACCTCATTCGATTTTCCTGCTTGATAAACCCAGATCTTAACATACAACAAACATAAGCAGTGATAAAGAAGCAGATAGAAAGAAATCGGGAAGATGAACCGAATCTGGTATACCGTATAAAACCCCGCTGCTCTCCCCGGAGAAGGAGAGCAGCGGAAACCCTACTCTCTCTATCTCGCCTCTGCGTCTCTAAGCCTCTAACGATCAGTTAGGGTTCCCGTAAGTTAGCCTCCTTTTATAGGAGAAGTTAGCTAACTTACGGGTTACAAGGAAGCCCACGGGCTGATACACATTAGTGGCCCGTATTACACGTTTAATTAATAACTACACAAA